CATGTATTGAAGTGGAAGATGTGGGTTTAGAGGTTGATGCTTTAGAGTGATCTGCTTGAGGTTTCATCGATTCTGACTTCGATGAGCTTTCAATTTTGCTTGAATGGTTCATCGATTCATCAACTGATGTTTCCTCATTAGAATTCTCTTTTTCATCAACGGTACTTGCTGATGGAGTGAAATTGACAATCAGAGATTTTGGTTTAACCATAGGTTTTCCATCGGTTTCTGATTTAGAGGTGTCATTTCTTCCATCAGAATTCTTACTTGTACTGATCTCGTATACCACATTTTCATTGACTTACTTGATTTAGAGGTGTCATTTCTTCCATCTCTTTTTCATCCACGGTACTTACTTGTCTTGAAACAACAGTTTTTCCATTGACTTTAACTCTTTTAAAATTTGCTTTTCGTTTTGGAGTAAAGTCGGGTTTTTGAATGCATCCAAGTTTGAAAGTGGATTCAAGGGTGGATTTCTTTGATTTGATGAAAGAGTCCAATTCATTGAATCCAATCCCTTGAGTGTCCGTTTGACCATTTAATTTTTCATAAACGTCTTCGGCATCTTTGTACTTCTTCATCAAAAGTTCATTGGTTTGAAGCTTCTGATGAAGAATTTTCCGCTCTTTTTGAAAGAAATCTTTAAGAGCAATTGAGTTTAGTCTCTCTGCCTCGGATTCCTTTAAAGCCTTTGTTTTCTTTTCTAGGTCCTTAGTTATTCGTTTGTTTAATTCCAGAAGTTTATCTTCCTCTGATTTCTTAAGAGTGCTGATGCGAGTCTTTTGTTTTGCAAGTTCGGCTTTTTCTTCGGGTTAGAAAATTAGTTTCTCTTTTGTAGAAACTTGCTTCTTTTTCCGCTTTTATTCTTTCAGATTTTTCAAAATTTAATTTTTCTTTTAATTTAAAGAAATCCTCTGAAAGTTTTATTACTCTTAACTCTAGCTCCGATGGAGCAGAGTTGGTTTCATTGGAAGTAGACTCACATACCTGATCATCAGAGTTGGAGGCAGATTCTTCATTGGACGTGGCCATCAAACAGATGAGTGCTTTGTCTTTATCGTCTGATGAAGAATCAGACACCCAATTTTCTTTCTCAGCCATCAGGCTTCGCTCTCTAGAATTATATTTGTATTTGTTCTTGTAATAGTTAGCATCCTTTAACAATCGTCCTCTGCATTCTTTGGAAAAATGATCGAGTTTTCCACATCTGAAGCATCGAAGGTCATTTTTCCTTCCATCTTTGTCCTCTTTCCTCTCTTCTCTTCTTTCCTCTTTCTCTTCTCTTCCATCTCTTCTATCTTCCCTCTGATGAAATTTAGATGGCTTCCTTTCATAGGATGACTGGTACCTTTCCCTCTTGAACTCTTTTCGTTCATAGGGTTTCTTGATGAACTTTTTTTGGGACTGCTTTGTAATCAAGGCCAAAGATTTGGCAATAGCTTTAATTTCATCATCTGATTCAGAAGTTTCTTCTTTAGATTTTGATTCTACCACCAATGCTTTCTTGCCTTTCTTCTTATATTCTTTGGTAGGGGTCCTTGATATTTCATTTTCATCGGCAGCAAGAGCAAGAGGTCCACCGATGGATACCTTTTTCTTCATTATGTCGTTCTCTTGTGCTGCAAGCGTTCCATATAGGTCATGAAGTGACCAGCCGTCTAGATCCTGGTTTGCTTGAAGGGACATAGATAGTTGAGTCCATTCATCGCCAATACTTTTTAGGAATAAAACGTTGTTTTCTTCCTTAGTTATGGAGATATCGTTTCGACGACATTGATTGATCAATGTGTTGAAACGATCATATGTCTTCTGTATCGGTTCATCAAGAAGGGCCTTGAAGTTTGTGTATTCGTTGAGACATTGTGCTCTACGATTTTTCTTCATTTTTTCTCCTCCTTCCAGTTGGCTTGCCAGTTCATCCCATAGTTCCTTGGTTGTGGAACATGCGTCGAGGGATTGGAAGATTTCATTGGATATGGCCATGATTATCAATCGTTTGGCCTTCTTGTCTGTCTCTACCCTTTCTATGTCGTCTTCATCCCAATTCTTCTCATCCTTGGGCATATAGTAGGAAGGAATTTCAGCTGTGGTGTTTGTTCCTGGAACTCTTGGGACAAGAGTTTGTGGAATGTAAGGACCCTCCATTAAAGATCGTAGGAGGTTCCTGTCCATTCCTTCCAAGAAATTCACCATTCTGATCTTCCATTGTGGGTATTCTTTACATTGAAGAGTTGGAGGCTTGGTGAGGGAGCCAACACTATACACAAAATTCCAGTTGGCCATTGAGAATTTTGAAGAGAAAGATTTATGTTTTGACGAGAGAGAAAATCAAAAATTGAGAGATTTTTGTATGATCGTTTTGATTGGAAAATCAATCAATTAGCTCTGATACCAATTGTTGATCCCAGATCTCTCAATAACACTAATAATCTAGTTAAGAATAACCAAATTATAGTGTTTTAATGAACAAAGTGATGAACACTCAAGAATAAATTATAAACAATAAAGAAAAATCTTAAGCATCAAAGGTTTCACTTTTATTAATGAATAAAAACGTAAAAGCAACATTCAGTACAATAGGCCTAATCACCTATTTATACTAGTAAGCTAATAAGAAGATAACTATCTAATRAGACTTTTTAGCTAATCTTCTATTAACAGATAATGTTTATCTAAACTATGGATAAGCTTTAGTATTTAAGAACAACTCGAAGTCTAGCTGTTGATTTGTCATCTCCAGCTGTCTTTCATGGTATGATGAATCATCCTTATCTTTAAATCTTCATCGTATGCTTCTGGATTAATTGCTGAAGAATTCTCTAAGTGTTGTTGACCAGAGGGGCGATGAAGATGCTCTTTCCATCGCATCTCTGGTTGTCCATCGGCCCTCTGGTTGTACTCCAGACTTAGCCAATTCTGCCATGATGTCTTCATCGGTCTTCTGGTTCTTCATCACTTATTGTATTTCATTACTTTTTCACTTTATGAATTATGGGGTTTAACAAAAAATTGTGTTATCCTACAACCTTTAAGAAATTCGTTGTTCCACTCCTATGTGGATCGAAACAAACCGATGGGGGAGGTTTTCCATCGCCATAGAACAAGGTTTTCACTACCCAAAATGGAGAGGGTAAGAGGGTTTTCATATGTTAGTGACAGAATAGAAAGGTGGGGTTAGGGTTCGTTGTTGGAGACGTAATAGATCGGGATGGGGTGGGGTTTTTCATCTGTTATCAAATGTGCATATACTTAACAAGGGTTGAGTTCCGGTGAGAATGTAAGTTACGGTGAGAAGGGTAAGAAGGTATCTCCAACCCTAGTTGAAGATCAACACTACAGATCAATTCCCGTGATAAGCGCAATTCATGGGGGTGGGGTTGAGATTAAAAGTGATTAGATGGCTAGATTCCTTATGTAATATTTATATATATGATTAATTTATTTTTTATTAAGAAAAGAGAAAAGAGGTAAAAAGACTATATATATAGGCCTCGATTTAAGAGAAATAATTTAACTATCTCAATTCAAGCGACCATCAGTGTTATAAAAATGAAAAGTTAAGGACCACCAATATAAATAGTGTCGTTGAGGGATGATATACAATTTTGAAATAAACCACAAAGACCAAGAAGGTAATTCACTCTTTTTGTTGACAATTCCTTATTAGATATATACGTAGTGGTTAATAGTTGATAAGTTCAATTATATTTGTCTATTGCATTAATGAGTTCCGCATTTGTAAGCACCGGCCTATGCCACATGCCAATGTAACAGTTGTCAATTATATTTGACTTGACATGGTATATTTCATTAACATGTGTGTCTTTAACATAACCTATATCGCTCCTTATAGCATATCTGCATATCGGTTTCTCTAAGGTACAACTTATTACAATAAAAAATTAGAATCCTCTTATAAATTATTGAAACAAGACTAATACATAATTTTTTTATGCAATTTGTTACCAATATAAAAACCAAAAAATCTTACTCCCAAAATCATTAAGAATTCCGTCAAAAACCCAAAATTTTTATAAGATCCACCACCATCAAATTTATTACTAGTACATAAATTTCTATACAAAACCTAATTTTTGTTGGAACCACCACGATCAACTTCACATTCTTTTCTTTGCTACGATGCTCATTGTTGATCATCTCATACCTACTAAGTTTCTTCTATTGATCTCTCATATATTAGTGAATTAAACCAATAATAAAGGATAGTTTGATTCTTACGTATAAAACAATGAAACTTAAGAAAATATATAAATGGAAATATATTTTAAAATCAATGGCCAAAGATTGATTTTTCAAGATGTACACACCATATCCATCCTATCATACCCCCCACCACCTTGTCGTTTTTTATGTTGCATCTCTATAGAAATTATAAAAAGATATACTAAAAAAAAGAAATTAGAGAGAGAAATTGTAATAACAAGTAGATTATAAACAACCATTAATATAAAAGAACAAGAATCAAAATGTTCTGGATACAAATTAAATAAAAACCTTTCAACTAAAAGTATACCTAGCTAACACTCAAGGGACTATTTCTGTAATTAATCTTAACTTTTTACAGGTTTAATTCGAATATTTTATGTATTTATAGTATTTATTGGAGGAAACATGCTTATAATGGACAAAATCATGAAGCTTGAGTATTTTACCATTTATTATGCGTGGATTCGAGTACCCCCCAATAAACTAAACATATTTAGTAGAACCCTTCACGTTTCCCACTTGTGCTTTTTACAGACCAGTAGTCATTCTCACACTGTACCAAATGCCTGAAATAAAATTGTAGAAAGAAGTGACCCAATAGTCAAAAGCATCAAGAAATACTACCGTTGAATGTGAGAGTTTGGAGAGAGAGAAGAAGCAAAAATGGGTTGATGAAGGATATTTCGCTGTTGGGGTGAAGGGTTGCGCTGCAGATCAGAATCCAGAACCCCATTTGGAAGATTTCATTTTTGTGTAAGGTAATTGATCTTAATGTTTTGAGGCTCAAGTTTTCATTTTTTTCTTCTTGAATTTGTTTTCTTTCTTTCTTGTCCTCTACTGCCAATCGAACTCATCTGGGTTCTGGTAGATGGGTTTGTGTAAATCCTCTCAAACTGTTTCCATTTGCATAAAACGGCTATGTTTGTTTTCCCCTTTTGAATTATTTTTTATTTAATCAGTTTCACCACTTCATTCTCCTGAACCCACTTTGGGTCCTATCCTTGATACCCAGTTATGATAAGCTATTGAAAAGGGTAAATGTAAATGGGTTGTTCTCTTTGTTGAAATATCTTGACTGATTTTGGGTTATTACTTGGATGTGAATGCTAGAGTTTTGTCAGCAAAATCTTGTTTTTTGTACATATTTTCTTGAAAAAAATATGTTGTCTAAATAATTTCAATCGTCCACTTGACAAGTCATTGTGTAATTAACATATATTTTTGTTCAGATTTAGAGGTCTCATAGCTATCTCCTTGCTTCTTGGTCTTCTTGGATACAACTAAATTGAGGGGTTGTTTTTTTCCCCTATAAAAAACCAACTTCTGCTTGATTTAGAAGGTAATTTCATGTATTGATATAACCCTAATTCCACTGTTTTGGGTTTGTCTAACTTCACTCTTGTTTTGCTCAATAACTGCTGATTTTAGGTGCAAAGAGTAGGAGTAAAGGAGATAAAGTGGCTTAAGAAAAGAGAGAAAGAAAAAAATTTGATATTGGTTTGATCTCTTTTGGGATTTTCAGATCCAAATCAGTTGAGTTTTTGTTTGTTGGTGGAGTCATGGCTTGCATGTTAAATTCTGATTCAAGGCGCTTGTACTCTTGGTGGTGGGACAGTCACATTAGCCCCAAGAATTCAAAATGGCTTCAGGAGAATCTTACAGGTATGATTTATGCTATGAATTATTGGTTGCTCCTGATATAATTGTTGAGTAAAGAAAAGATAAATTCATAACATTTTTACTTGTTTGAATCACATTCTCCTTGACAAACAACGGTTTATTAGGATATTGTCAGATTACCCTCCAAAAGAGCATTTGAGTGACCGAGGAGTGAAAGGGTCCAAGTCTAGTAAATGTGGGACTCCAACAGTTTGGGTGTTATGCACACCTATTAGTTTTTTGTGAAATTCCATTACTCTTTGCAAGACGTTTTTAGAGCTGAAAGAGTTAAGAAGTATGCCTTGGTGAAAGTTGATGGGCGCCTTTGAGTGGTTTTACTTATCAGTCAAGGGTTGATATGTTTTGAAACAAGGGTTAATACGCAAAACTAAAATTTTCGTATATTGACAAAGAAGAAATTGAATCTGCTTTCTACTTGAGAAGGGGAGTTGGATGCATGTTCTGTGATGGAGGTGAACTTACTACATTGGACCTACAAGATTTTTGTTCTCATAATTTACTAATATATATATATATATATCGAGAGAGAGAGAGAGAGAGTGGGAAAATCCCAAAAAATGAGAAATTGAGGGACACCCTAATAACTATTCATCTGTACAGTGTGCACATGTGCATGCCTTACAAATTACTTGTATGCACATGTGCATACCATACGATGAATGGTTATTAGGGTGTTTTTCAATTTTTTGCAGGTTTCCCGTGAACCTAACCCTATATATATATAAAAAAAAAAAGATTCTGGAGATTAAGTTCAGTGATCCAATAACTAATAAGATTGCTCCCAAGGTGTAGCATAGTTGGTCCCAGGGTGGTATACTTGCACACACAGGTGAGGGTTCAAGTCTGTGTTGGGAGTTGCAATTCTTTTGGGGATTGGGCTCCTTGTGGGCACTGGGCTTTTATTTTAACCCAACCACCTAGCAGGCCCACTGCCCATTTTCAATGATACTAAACAGTCAGCTAGTACATTTCCAATCAAAGAACAGAGGTAATGTAGCAGATCAGACAGTCCTTTTGCTGTATAATTTTGTTGTTTACATCACACTTCCATTTTCTATCAAGAGTTGTTATCATTATCACACGGGTTTCTTTATTTTTCACTTTCACACACTTTTCATTAGCCAAGGATCTTCACATAACCAACTGCTTTACTCCCGACGCCCAACCTCCGGGTGGGATATACCGGTTTACATGGGTTTGATTTATGTGAAGAAGGTGATAACTGGATGCCATTGTTCCATTCAATCGTTCCATCAAACATGTTTGATTTTAAGTTCATACTGTTTCACATGTTTGTTCTTGTATGTGTTTCTATGTGAAATGTATATTGATGCTTTTTTTCACATGCAAAACAGTCCTGAAAGTTTCATGTATGTGTTGTTTCATATACGAAACAACACAAGTAAAACTGGTTTGTAAACAGTTACTGGGTTTGTATTTGATATACTTTAAGCAACACATTTGTACTTGTTTTAGGCTAGTATTTTAATTTTATAATCTTACCTATCTCTATAGTGTTTTTGAACTTGTTCATTTAAATGTTGTGGAAGATTTTTTCTGTAATTACTAGAAATTTGTTTAGCTTTCACTTGACATCTGGACTATCATTTGTTTAAACAGACATGGATGCCAAAGTCAAATCTATGATCAAGCTCATTGAAGAAGATGCGGATTCCTTTGCAAGAAGGGCGGAAATGTACTATAAGAAACGCCCTGAGCTCATGAAACTAGTCGAGGAGTTCTACCGAGCATACCGTGCGCTTGCTGAAAGATACGATTATGCAACTGGGGAGCTCCGTCATGCCCAACGGACTTTGCAAGCAGCGTTTCCCAACCAAGAACCTTTTGGACCAGCCGAAGATTCATCATCTTCGATCACTACATCTGACTTATCTAGTCAACTTCTGGCTCTCTTTGACCCTGATGACCTGCAAAAGAAGTTTCCAGAAGGAAAGATACAGAATATTGATGAGAATGATGAAATCAAGGCCAAAATTTTTATAGAATCTGAGCGTGCAGATAAAGCGGAATGTGAAATTCAGAACTTAAAGAAGGCTCTGGCTGATGTACTTTCAGAAAAGGAATTTCTTCTCGTTAAGTATCAAGAGAGTTTGGAGAAATTTTCTAGTGTGGATGGAGAACTTAATCGTGTTGTAGAAAGTTCCAAGAAACTAGATGAAAAAGCAAGTGAAGCAGAAAGAGAAGTCCGTATGTTGAAAGAAGCTCTTGGTTTAATGCAGGCTGAAAAGGAAGCTGGTTTGACCAAGCAAATGGAGTATCTGGAAACGATATCAGATTTGGAGGAGAAGATCTCACATGCCCAAGAAGAAGCAAAGGGAATGGGAAAACGGGCAGTTGAAGCAGAAACTGAAGCTCGACATCTGATGAACAAACTCGCTATATTAGAATCCGAAAATGATGCAGGTCTTCTGAACTATGGAAAGTGTCTGGATAGAATATCCGTTCTGGAGAAGAAGATTCTAGAAATGGAGGAAGAAGCCAAAATGTTCTCTACACAAGCTGCTAGAGCTCAGGAGGAAGTTGATAAGCTGAGAAAGGATCTTTCCGAGTTAAACGAGGAAAAAGAAGCTCTTCGTGTTTTATATGCAGAATGCTTGGAGAAATCATATAATCTACAACTTGATCTTTCTTCCGCCCAAAAGGATGTTCAACGCCTGAATACTGAAATTCTTGCAAGAACTAAAAGCCTTCAAAGTGCTGAAGAGATTTGCGTTCGTTTAGAGATTTCAAATCAATCTCTGAAGCTGGAAGCAAGTGATTTGGCCAAGAAAATCATGTTGAAAGATCAAGAATTATGTGAAAAGCACGAGGATTTGGAGAAACTTCGAAGCTGTGCAAAAGACGAACACACGCATTACGTGCAAGTCGAAGCTGCTCTACAGACCTTGCAGACTTTATATACCAGATCTCAAGAAGAGCAGAGAGCTCTTGCACTTGAGCTTAAAAACGGGCTTCTAATGGTGAAAGATTTGGAGATTTGTAAATCGGGTTTAGAAGAAGAAATGCAACAAGTTAAAGATGACAATAAGAGCTTAAACGAACTAAATGCATCTTCTGCTGTTTCGATTAAGAATTCAGAAGTTGAAATCCTTGGATTGAATCAAATGAAGGAGAGACTTGAAGATGAGGTAGCACTGCAACTGGGTCAATGCAGTGCTATGCAGCAAGAAATATGCGGATTGAAAGAAGAAATTACGGAGTTGAATACGAGCCACCAGGCTTTGATGAGTCAACTCGAGTTGGTTGGTTTGAATCCAGAATCTTTTGGGTCATCAGTAAAAAACGTTAAGGAACTTCTTGAGAAGAATACTGCTTTAGAGAGCTCGTTGTTTGATGTAAACTGTGAACTAGAAGGATCAAAAAACAAGGTTGAGGAGCTGCAGAGTTCGTGCGAGTTGTTACATGGAGAAAAAACCGCTCTATTTCTTGAAAAAACCCTTCTTTTGTCTCAATTACACATTATTACTGTTAATATGCAAAAACTCATGGATCAAAGCATTGTTCTTGAGAACTCTCTCTCTAGTGCAAATGTTGAACTTGAACATCTGAGAGAAAAATCGAAGGGATTAGAAGAACTCAGCGAGTTTCTCAACGATGAAAAGTCTAATCTTGTGGCAGAGAGAAGCATGTTGGCATCTCAGTTGGAAAGTGTCCAGAAAAGACTAGAAACTCTCGAGAAACGGTTTACGCAGTTTGAAGAACGATATGGTAGCCTTGAGAAGGAAAAAGAAATCGGAAACTCTCAAATCCAAGAATTAGTGTGTTCTTTAAGCATGGAGAAGCAAGAACGAGAGAGTTTTATGACCAGAAACCAGAAACGGTTAGATGATTTGGAGAATCATATTCATCGTCTTCATGAAGACAACAAGTGGAGGAAAGAAGAGTTTCAGGAAGAACTTGATAAAGCTGTGATCGCCCAGTTTGAGAATTTCATCTTACACAAATTTATACAAGATGTAGAAGAAAAGAACTATACCTTGTTGGTTGAGCGTGAGAAACACGTTGAAGCATCCAAATTGGCTGATAATCTGATTTCCGAGCTGGAGACCGAAATTCTTGAACAACAGGTTGAAGAAGAGCTCTTGTTAGTTGAAGTTGAAAATCTGAGGTTGGGGATTTATCAAGTATTTTTGGCTCTCCAGGTTGGTTCAAAAGGTGGTTTTGTAGATGGGTATGAAACTTCAAAGATCTCTGTCGAAGAGATTATCAGTAATATCAAGGATATGAAATGTGCTCTCTTGAAAGAAGAAGAAGAAAAGCAGCAGTTATTGGTTGAAAACAAGATCGTTTTAACTCTCCTCCAACAACTCAAATTGGAGTTTCAGGAATCGGAGTTACACAAAACTTCCCTGATTAACGAGTACGAAATCATGAAGGATGATTTTACAAAGGCCAAGAATGAGAAACTTGAACTCATTGAAGTCAACAGGCAGTTGATAGTTGAGGTCAACAAGGGAGAAAATGAAGCAAAGATACTTAAGAGTGAAGTTGAGGGTCTACATGCAAGAAAAGATGAATTACAACATGCGTGTATTGATCTACAAGATGCATATGCTCAAGAACTTTATGAAAACCGAGCCCTGAAGAAAGATTTATTGAATCTGAAGGAAGAAAATGATTGTCTAGTTCTAGAATCGTTAGCTCTTGGTAACATTTCAACTGTTTTCAGTAGCTTTAGTGCCGAGAAAGCTGCAGAGCTACGTTTGCTGTCTGATGATCTGGAAAGCCTCCATCGGTTCAACAGTGAGCTCCAAAACGAGCTTATTGTGTTAAGAGAGAAGTTGGAGGTAACAGAAAAGGAAAACTTTCTTATGAAACGTACGATTGAGCAGCTGGAGTCAAAATGTGCAGAATCAGAAGTCAAAGTAGATGCTTTGGAGAAAGAAACGGTCAAACTATCCAATCTGAAAAAGGAGATGGAGTGCCTGCGTGTAGTGAACGGAAATCTTGGATTGGAATTGGATATGTTACATGAAGAACTTGAGGAACGGAGAAATATAGAAGAAAATTTGGCTTCAGAGCTGCAAGAAAGAGAGAATGAGTTTGAATTGTGGGATGCTGAGGCTACTTCCTTCATTTTCGATCTTCAAATATCAAACACGCGTGATATTCTCTTTGAAAATAAAGTTCACGAGTTGGCTGGAGTTTGTGAGAGTCTTGAAGGCGAAATTGCTTCAAAAGATGTGGAGATTGAAGAGATGAAACGAAAGGAAAGCATGATGGAGAGTGAAATCGAAGGATTAAGGGCCCAGTTGCGTGCATATACTCCGGTTATTGGTTTTTTGAAGGAGAATATAGCATCTCTCGAGCATAACTTTTTCAATATGGCGAATCTTATTGTATCTGACAACCGGAAATCAGAGGTACCACTCTTTTTTTCTCCTTCCTCCGGTATGCTATTGGGCTATGTTTGATAAGTTAGTTGTTAGTTGATAAACTAGTCATGTTTGGTTAAAACTAGCTGATGACAATGTAAAATAACCTAAAAGGACATGTTGAAAAATTAATTCGACAAATACAAGGGGCATAACCAAATGGGGGTTTTCAATTAGCTTAAAAGATAAAGCTAGCTTATGGTTTTTGGTATGATAGATCTCTAACCTGATTCAAACATCCAAACCGTCCTTTTGCCTTGAGCATACCATTTTACTTCAAGGAAGATTTTTTTTTTGGCTTTGTTGTTTTAAGAATTGTGAGTTTTCCTTAAAGAAACATAAATTTATTTATGGGTCATTTGAATTTGACTAGAATTGTACTTCATCTACATATCCTCTACAAGATAGCCCTTTCGCCCCAAAATAAGGGTCGACGTTTCTATTTTAGTTTGTACCAAAATAAGTGTCTACTTTTCATTCTTACTCTTAATTATGAGATGGAGAAATTCAATACTCTTATTTTTAAGGGTAAAATTGTCATTTTAGTTAATTAAAAAGTGTAATAATTACACATTTCTAAAACTGTGGGAGGGAGTAGTCGCAATTTAAGCAAGGTTTTGATGTTTACTAGAATAAGCCAGCATCTAGTTTCTTTCTATGCCTGCTAATGGTTCATTCTGTATGAATGATGTTATGATATATCTTGTTTTGCCTTGAATTTGTTTGTTAGTTACTACTTACTAGAGTCGAACCAGTAGCCTTTGGCCCAACAACTCGTTCTAACAGAGTTTCTTGAATTATAATAAGAAAATGGTTTGTCTTTTTTATTGTTGCATCACTCAAGCATATTAGCTTTTTGGATTATAGTTTTGTTGGATGATATATGTAATAATATTCGCCCAACTGAACCTATAAAATCGTTTGTTTGAATGTACATGGTACAGGATGTGGAAGTGGCAGTTCATCCCTATCATCATCAAACTGATCCAGAGTTAATGGGGAGTCCAAAATCCCTTGAACCAAATGGGATTGCAGATTTGATCGAGTTTCAGACAAGGATAACAGCACTCGAAAAAGTAATCGTGGAAGATATGAGCAAGATTGCTAAGCGGGACAGTTCAGAAACCGACATCAAATCAAGATCTGCAAAATTAGAGACCCAAGAGTTGAAATCTCAATTCAGGTCCAGTGAAGACCAAAAACGGACCAAAGCAGAAAAGCTGCGTGGGAAACGTTATCTAACGTTAGATAATCTCAACCTCACAAAGACTAAACCAGAAATGTCTGAAGTAAGGAAAGGGGTTCCAATAAGAGACATTCCACTTGATCAAGCATCAGATGGCTCATCCTCTGCAAATAGCAGGAGCAGAAGCAGAAGAGGGTATTTGCGGACTGATGATATGATTATTGAGCAACTGCAAATGGCGCACAGAATCCACGAAACCGAAAAGAAATCCAAAAAGCTGCCATATGAGCCACAGATCGAGGATTTTGGTGTTGACAAGTTGGAAGTAGTACCTCATCAAGAAGGGACAAAAGGAAAGCTTTTGCAGAGACTGGCTTCAGATGCTCAAAAACTGGCGAATCTTGAAACAACAGTGAAAGATCTGACAAAAAGGTTGGAAACTGGAAAAAAGAGCAAAAAACCCCATTCTGTTGATTTTGGAACCGTGAAAGAACAACTAGAAGAAGCCGAAGAAACCATTTTGCAGCTGGTGAATGTGAACGTGGAATCAACAGCCAGCATTGAAAAGAACCCGTCTTTATCAGCTTGGGTGGAGCAAGAAGATGCGTGGAAAGGGTCGGAAAGAATCAAAAGGGTGCAGTTGGAGGTCCAGAAGATCCAATATGTGTTGCTGAAACTAGATGATGAAAAGAAAAGCAAAGGGAAGAGCGGGTTTTCAAGAACCAAAAGCAGAACGAGCGTGATTTTGAGGGATTTTATTCATCATGGCAAAAGAGGCAGCAGCAGTGGAAGACGGCGTCGACTTTGTGGGTGTTTTATGCCATCTGCGACTAAAGGAGACCGAATCAGAATGTAGGTTTTAACTTTGTGACTGCATGTTTATTTTATGTTATGGATCTTGAAATGTTTCTTTGCAGGTCTAGAATCTAGAGTAATTGCCAAGAACACGCTACCTTATTTGATTCATTTTCAAGAAACCATCATGATCTTATTTGACTTCTAGTTAACTAGTTTTGTGTATTGGGAAATTGGGATGGAAACTGGAGAATAATTGTAAGGTTTGATCTTTATTATGCAAGTTCTATCCTCCATTTTGTATTTTGATCTTGATCTAGTGGCCAAACTGGGCGTTGGGTTTTTCTCAAGTATAGTTTGAATGGTTGGTCCTTGTGCTTGACAAAACAAAATAAAGATCATTGTTTCATGTTTGAAAGGATTGTTATGTGGAACAGAATAGAATAACAAGTGTGTTCCACCCTTATCCTATGGAACAGGATGGAATATGTTTATGTTTTACCAATATAATCACAAAATAAAACTTAATTCTCTTGTAAAACATTATATTTTTACATTTTATTCATTTTTTAAATTTAATTTATTGTATTTTATATTTTTAAACTTCACTTTACTGTACTCAAAAAAATATATAAGGTTTATATATTTTAATTAATTTGTGTAATTTATTAAATATTAATAATAAAAATATATAGAAAAGGATGTAAATTAACAATTGAAAACTACTTTAACTTTTTATATTTTCGTGTTGTTTTAATCGTATTAACGATAACTTTCTAATGATATTGTTATAAAAATATATATATATATATATATATATATTTTAATAAATTACATAATTATTCAAAATATATAAACAACTCATTAGGGTAAATCGGTCATTTTATCTGTCATGTCCATCTTTGTTTTACCAAACGTTGAACAATTGTTCAGTCATGTTTTGTTCTGTTATATCTTGTCTGAATACCAAATGCACCCTACATGTTATAACATCCTAACGTGCTAAGGGGTTGTTTGGTTTGAAGTCCTATATGGATGAAGCAGTTGGTGTGGATTAATCTGTCTGTATAGATTGTAAAGGTTTATTCATTCTGCAAGGAGCGTGTTTTAAATTGGGAGGGACATGTTTGGTAAAAACTTGGTTTTCTACATAAAACTCCCCCTAGAAGCTTACTAAATAAGTCACTTTTTATATCATTAAGCTATCAAACAATCATGTATAATTGATCGAATAAGTTATAAAGTTCATTAAACTGCTAACAAATAGACCATGAGTCCACATGAGTTGTCTTTGGTAGTTATTTTGACTTAAGGTACTTGAGGTGTAACATGTAGTAACTTCTTCAATGAAATTATATAAAAAAAATCTAATTATTAAGAACTCAACGGGACCTTCTCCCTCAAATTAGACAAACAAAAAAGGGAATCCGTTGAGTTCTTACGCTTTCATGTCTACAATTCAATTCATCCGATTACTACTGGGATGAACCCAATCCGGAATATGAACCATAAAGAAAAACGTCTATTAAACCAATCACAAGAATACCAACTACAGTACCTATTATCCAAAGATGAATTCTTCCAGTAGCATCCACCATTTATCCCACTTCCCTCCACATTTCATCAAGTGGTCATGCTAGAGACATAAACAGTCATGGATAATTATGAGATGAAATATTTTTGAATGGGCTAAGAGAGAGAATACCTAGAATGATTATTCTATTATTTTAGTTCTCTCTCGTTTTCTTAATTGAAGAAATAATTGGAAAATAAAACARSWAGTACAAAAATGAGTAATAWCCCCYAGTAGAKGCTGGTACGATTCAATTCAACATTTTGTTCGTTTGGGTTTGATTGTGTCGTAGCTCTATAATTCGGATTAGGTTTATCGTTGTATGAACTGCATTGTTGATACTGACCCCAAAAAGTAAATGGTAGGTATAGCTAGGTCGTGAACAGCCAACTATCGCACTTTAAAAATTGGATAGGTTCGATCTAATGGTCATTGAAGCCTCCTAAAAAGATCTACTAAATTCATCGAGTTGTTCCAAATAATCAAAACGATCAGTGATTAATGGAATTCCTTGTCGGTTCTCTGTGAAATACTCGTTTGGCCGAGGGCTTCCAAACACATCGTAAGCTAAACCAATGCTGACGAATAACAAACCACAATGAATAGGAAAAGTATAATAATGCTATGAATGACCCAATAGCGAATATTAGTAATAATATCAGCAAAAGAACGTTCTCCTGTGCTTCCGGACATGCTGAGCTCCACATATTCTTATACAGTCAAAAAGGGATCGATACTCTTATAATTATATTCGAGAAAACAAGGAAATATCCATTAGGAACCCAAATGTGATTAGGAGCATGGGAACCATCAATGATGCTTCATATGTTCCTCTTCAGGATGAATATTCATCATGAATAAAACATTTGTGATGATTAACATAATCCATATTCCTAATGGATATGCCATATTTATGTTGTGGGTTGTTCTAGGTTCTTAATAAATTTTAGGTTCCTAAGAGAACCTGCCCATGATAAAACTCGCACATATTTCTCATATTTGATGAGGTTTAAACATCTGACTTCGTAGTGGGCCTGTAAACGAACCGAACGTTCAGCGAACCATTCGACGGAAATTTCGTTTATTTAATAAATGAACGAACATGAACAAGTTTTTATGTTCGTTTAGATAAATGAACGGACATGAACAAATGTCTCGTTCGTTCATTTATGTTCATTTACGTTCACGAATGTCCGTTCATTTATGTTCATTTACATTCATGAATGTCCGTTCATTTATGTTCATTTACGTTCATAAATGTCCGTTCATTTATATTCGTTTATTTATGTTCGTTTAATATTTAATTATATTTATATGATCTTTTATTTACATATAATGAAATTTTAAATCTTGTAACTTGACTCATAAAGAGTTAAAGACATTTTTGGGCTAGTCTAACGTGGGACTTTATTTAAACCTAGTCCATTACTTTATTTATGTCCGTTTTAAGGCTAGTCTAAAGTGGGATTTTATTTAAACCTAGTCCATTACTTTATTTATGTTCGTTTTAAATTGTCCGTTTATTTTCGTTAAGTCTGTTTCTTTATGTTCGTTTAATACATTAACAAACGAATATGAATGAACACAAACACGACAACTTTCTAAACGACCGAACACAAACACCTAAATTTTTTTTGTTTATTTTTCATTTTCGTTCATTTGTTCGGTTAATTTAAACGAACGAGCATAAACAAAACTCTATTCGTATTCGTTCGGGTCGTTTACATGCCTACTCTCTAGCATATTGGGATTTATGGTAAGTCACCACTAGACGATTGACCTTAGGTGCAATGCCTCCTTCTTTTCCTATTTTTTGTCTATTTATTTCTTTATTTTCACGTTATTAGTTTTATCTTATAACGATTAAGCTATATTTTTGGTCCCTCGTTTATACCTGTTCTTTGGTTTTCGTCCCTCCGATTATGAAGTACACTCTTGGTTCATTTTTTGTGTTTTGTAGCCCAATGTAGTCCCTGCTGCTAATCCCGTTACTTTAGAGTCCGTTAAGTGGGTCATGTACCTCTCATATGAGGGGTATTTTGGTTATTTTAGGCGAGTGACCAGAAATGCAATTCACTCTAAGATCCATATTTCACCAATTTTCATAAATGGTTAATGATTGTCTAATGAAATAGGTTATTTAGGTATGAATCAACCAATTACGTTCAATATAACTCTTAGGTGATCGATGCATTTTTTTTTAAAATATATTATCTATACTATATTATAAAGCATTCGACAAAAATTCTTAAAAACTATTTTTTTATGCATGAAGTACTGTTTATTGATGCATATTACTTAAAATTCAAGATTACAAATAATTTTGCATAAGTACAACTTATTAAATATTTATTTTTAAATTCGTGTAACTAACTGCAGATAAACATAATCAAATTCATGACAAACATCCATTTTAAATATATGAAATCTAAAATATAATTAAGATAATTATTGAGTTCTAACAGAATGTTTAATTATTATCTTTATAAAAAATATATTATTAAACCAAAACTAAATTACTTTGTTATTAAATCTAAATTAAGTTATGATAAAAAAATATACTTCATTATAAAACATTTGACAAAAAAACTCTTAAAAACCATTTTTTATGCATGAAGTATTGTTTATTGATGCATATTACTTAAAATTCAAGATTCAAGTAATTTGCATAAGTACAACTTATTAAAGCTTTATTAAATTCGTGTAACTAACTACAGATAAATATAATCAAATACAATATAAACATCCATTTTAAATATAGAAAATCTAAAATATAATTAAGATAATCATTGAGTTCAAACAAAATGTTTAATTATTATCCTTACAAAAATTATATTATTAAACCAAAACTAAATTACTTTGTTATTATATGTAAATTAAGTTATAATAAAAAATTGAATTAAATAAGTTACACCAAAAAAATGAGAACTATAAATTATTAATTTGATACTAACATCGATTTATTTTTGTCACATTTTTATGCTATCTTCAAATTTATATTTCATTCAAAAATAAAAACATTATCGCTTTCTTAAAACCACATAAAATCGTATTATATCGATAAAGACAGGATAAAAATTCAACAATAAAATTAAGATTTATCTCACTGCATTGCGTGAGTACCTTTCTAGTATATCAAAGAATAGACACGTTTAATCATACTTCAACGCCTTGAAAATGTTCATAGGTGGGCAAAGGTTTGTTCGATGTTCTAATAGCTGAATTAAAGTGTCTTGGTTTGGATTTAGATGATGTGTGAGGACAAGGTTATGATAACGGTTCAAACATGAAGGGAAAACATCAAGGAGTAGAAAGGAAACTACTAGATATAAATCCTACAACATTTTATACTTCTTGTGCTTCTCATAGTCTTAATTTAACTTTGTGTGATATAGCCAATACTTGTGGTAAAGCTAGAGATTTTTTTGGAATAATTCAACGTATTTATACAATATTTTCTAATTCCACTAAAAGATGGAAAGTGTTTAAAGATAATGTAAAAAGATTGACCGTCAAGTTGTTGTCAACGACTCGCTAGGAGAGTCATATTGATAGTGTAAAGGCTATAAAATTTCAAGTGTTAGAGACAAAAGAAGTTTCACTTCAAGTGGCTAAAATAGATAATGACTCAAAAATTAAAAGTGAAGCAAAACCTTTAGCACACAATGAGCTTGGTGATTTTGAGTTTCTAGTGTCAATAGTGATTTGGTATGAAATATTGTATGCCG